ATTTTTTTTATACAGTGCGATTCTTTATTGTGCTCATCCTTTCCTAATATATCCAACAAAGAAGGGAGAAAGATAAAGCGATAAAGGGAAGAAAATATAAAACAGTAAGATTGCGAAGAAAGAAAATATAAACATACTAAACGAAGAGGTAAGTGATAAAGTAATTAGTGATACATAGTTATGAAAGATGGATATGGGGTGTGGGTGTGGATGAAAGTAGGTGCAGGTGTGGTTGAATGTGCGTATGTGTCCCGCTCACAAATAGACTCGCACCCACATCCACACCTACGTCCACATCCATACTCACACACTCACTCAACCACACCCATGCCCACACCCGAAACATTAAGATTTATGTTTTATGCAAAGCTAAAATATTTTTATTGGGGCAAAAGAACCGATTCAGTTGTATATTATTTCACATATTATGATAGCACATATTCATATCAATCGCAATTTCTTCTTATTACATATTATGACCAAAATACTTTTTTCACCTTCATCGTCGCCAATCCATCAAAAATTTTTTTTCAGGAGTATTAAAAGGTATTATTTTCCCAAGTACAAGTCTTATTTCGTCAACCAACCGGCACCAATTCGATGTTAATGTACCAACATGCAAATCTGCATTGACTTCAATAAATAAATCACTAAGAAATTCCAGAACAATTTTTCCACGTTGTTCTTTTGTCATATGAGTTAATGATGCAAAAACAATATTTCTTTCTACAGTTATGCTTAACAGTTTATAATAGCCTTGTTTTTCTTTATTTATTTTCACAAATTCATTGAATACTTTTTCATCTTCAGAATTAATATAGATTGTAGATATATTTGCTCGTCGAGCATCACCATCAAATAAATCAAAATATTGTTTGAGTGTGTATGATTGAGACATTTCTTTTTTCCTAACCTTATCTGATCGACGGACATATACAGCAATGTATGGATGCTGAAGATCAATTGAAGGTGGTTTAAAAAATTTTGCTATGGTATGCTGTGCATAAGCTAATGTTTCAGGTTTATATCGCATTAAATAAAATAATAATTGTGCACGATACCAATTAAAAGTTCGATTTTGAAATGTAGATGGAATAATAGGCTTAGACCAATGACCAATGTTAGCATTGACTGTAATTGTTTGATTACCATCAAGTTTGGATGGAATTGAACAATTAGTTATTGGAAGAAAAACACAATCTGGTGAGCTTGAATTACAATCGCCATAAAGCTAAAACAAAATAGCTACTAAATTTCAGTAGACATTTCAGTAGGAATTGTTAGATTTTTTCCGAGAATTCTAATACTCATTTCGATACTAATTAGAAGAAGATAAGAGTAAGGACTATAATGTTTTGTGAGAGTCTGAGATTCTAAAAACTCCTGTTTGTCCCGCCCTGAAGGGCCATTGGGAACAGCTAGGAAAATTCTTCGGGACGGAGAAATCATAATCAAAGCAATTATTATTTTATTGCGATGGAACAAATGAAATTCGGGACAAATGAAATTCGGGACAAATGAAATTCGGGACAAATGAAATTCGGAACAAATGAAATTCGGGACAAATGAAATTCGGGACAAATGAAATTCGGGACAAATGAAATTCGGGACAAATGAAAGGTTGTCCCAATGGCTGTAATAAGCACCCGTCCTACTGAATTATATAACTTGTTGAAATTTTGATTAGAATATGTTGTATATCATCAAAAAATAAGTTTGAAGGTATCGATAATCGCAATAAAAGAAAACCGTTATCAATTTAAGGGATTCTCCCCTCAGACAAAGTCAATTTTTGTCAAATTTATCAATTTTGTGATTTATATCTCGTTAGATAGAGTAATGTGTCTACTCTTGAACGCACTATAGTTGACTGATTTTATGATGAGGTTTAAGGATATTACATAGGTTTTTCTGAACCTCCATATTGAAAAAAATATGGTTTTTAAAAACTTATTTTCCATTTTTCTTAAAACCCGTTTTTTTTCGAGTATACTATTTGCGCGACCAAACCTTACTCAATAGCGACTCAATATAGAAGTGATAGTTTTTTTTATTGCATAGAGGACAGTCAAGACTAGACCCTAACAGAATCCGATTTTTTAATTTCTCTACTGGTGAAATAAAAAACTTACATATTTCATTTTTATCAGCAATTTTTTTAGCCATGAATTCGAGAATTTTTCGGGAAAGATTTTTTAAAAAACAAACCAAGAGAATTTCAAAAATCGGGCTTTGTGAGGATCTAGTCCTAAGGGTACTCTACAACTTAAAAACCACTTCGGCACGTTAGCTCGTATCCTGATTGCGAAAACCTTGCCTGCGCACAGGGTACTTTTGACCAATAAATTGACTATAACTCGTCAAGATCTCGTAGATTTGGGGAGATACTTTAACCATAATCTACCCTAGCCAAGACTAACATTCTCTGAAATTTTGGTTGAATTCCATGAAAAAATTAAAAAGTTTGTTTGTGAGGGGAGGACTCCGTAACTCAAGAAATAAACTACCTGAATGAATTTACTGAGTTCCAGTACTCGCTCATGTCGCCTCTTTTTCAACAACTGTATCGCATTAGTTGTATTGAACGATCCGATGTGTCTCATATCAACCAATCACACACAGTTTAATTGTACTTTTAACTGTTCACGCTCTCTCGCTGAAACTGAGCTACAAAGTGACCATATAAAAGGAAACCTTCGTGAGAGTGTGACTCATATTTCATTCAGCAACAACCAATAGAGTATGCGATCTGAATGCACTTCTTACTAATCACAGCAGAGACTTGTGGGTTTCGAGTGTCGTGAATTCGAATTCGTGGTCAGATTTTTATTTTAATATTTTTTATTAATTATGAATAACTCATAAAAGAACTAAGAAAATAAAAATCTGATCTTAGAATCGTATCCCTCACCTATAATTACCCTTTAGTCAAGTCTTATGAAAAAGCTCAAATATTACGAATAATAATTTACAAAAATATTAATAAAGTGAAAACCTTATACTATGTCATCTCTTTTTTAGCAACTGCGACGCAACTGCTGCGTAACTGTATTGCATTTCGATCGTAATCGAACCCACAGGCGTGTGTTGAGTCAGTTGTTAACAGAGTGCTCTTTCCCGAATCCTGTTACCAATAGGTAATGTAATCTTGGTTGGATATTCTTCTGACAAGCGTCTGACGAGAGAACATTCCCAACTGATATGCACCGTTCGAGCTCAAGTTTTGTTGATGGCTAGGGTTGGTCATAGACCTAGGACAGTTTCAGCTCGTGAATTTAGATGAAATGAGCTAAAGAGCTGTTAAAACAGTTCAGGTCAGATTAAAGATCCGATTCAAAAAATCGATTCGAGAAACTGATCTGTCTCCAGGATTTCTGTTGGGTTTTGAGCCAGAAAGTGGGAGTTCCATAAACAGAACAAAGGTTTTTAAATCCGAAAGTGATATTCCAAGAAAGATTGAACCACAGTTTTTTGGAGCGACGAGTACCAAGAGCTGAGCTAAACTGTTTCAACAGTTCAACTAAGAGTTAAAGATTTGTTTGAATAGCTCCTGGGAGCTGATCTGAACTGTTCGAACAGATCAGCTCAGATCGGTGAGTGTTTCGAACAATTCATCAGATCGGAACTTTTCAGTGAACTGTCATATCTCCAGTTATTCATGTATATAAAACAACTAAAAGGATTTGTGCCATTGTTGTTTGGTTTCAGAGATACGAATGAATCAAGTGTCATGATAGATAGCATTGCAATCTCTGCATAATTTTTATTCTTATTGATTGTGTATCTTAACTAGGATATACCTTTATCAATTGAATATTTATTGCCAGCTTAACTCATTTATCACTATTTATTCTCAAATTCTCAGTTGCATCTGATTTTTCGTCTGAGAGATACAACATTGCTTTTCTCTTTTTTTTTGGATAATGCCTTTTATTTTTTTCATCAATGAGCCCATACAATATTTCTTCGCTCTCCTGTGTTTTCGTCTACACGAAAACAATCAAGATGAAAAAAATAATTGTAACATTTTTTATTAAACAAATAAATGAAAACGCATACAAGGAAATAAATCAAAATTAAATGGGCATTCGAAGAAAGATTCTAATTAATGTCTAATGATAATGATAATTTTTACAAAAATGAGCGGAACCAAGTTTTTATTCGCACCATAAATATCGAATAATTTGACTAACAATACAAGGTTTTTCATGAGATTTATTTGTTCGAAAATTAAAACAAATCTCTTTAACATTTTGAAATAGACCAGGATCGTCTTATCTATTCATGAGGGAATAATAGACAGAATTCTTCTTTTCCAACCTCTGAACGCAAATCAGGTTTAACTGAGAATTTGAGAGTGAATAATCAAAATAAAATAAGTTGATAATAAATGTTCAACGGAAAAAAGTATGCCCTAGTTAAGGTCGAAAAATACTAAAAAGAAAAATTATGTAGAGATGATAGCGCTATCTACCACGACATTAGTTTCGCTTGTAACTCTGAAACAAAGCAGCAATGGCACAAACTATTTTAGTTATAACGGGTGTGGCAGAATAAATGCTTCCCCTCTCCCCTCCCCCCCCCCTTCAGTATTTTATCTCTAACTCTTTTTTTCTTTCATCCAAAAGACATGATTTTATCATAGAAAGATGTACCGTGAAGTTCTCTACAAAGTGATCTATTTTATCTTAGCTAAATACCGTTCGTCGTACTTTAAATCGACATAGTTTCACTTGGAAAAATTATGAGTATTTTCCAAAAATAGTTATTTTATAGTTTTTTTCTAATATCGCTCTATTTGCCATTTCTTAGTAACTTTCGCTGATAGTTTGTTTTAGTTGAGTAGCAATCTGGGTTTACCGATGCTCCAGAGATGCGTAGGCTTCCCTATTTGAGTTGAATCGGCAATTATCAGAATTAAAATGCTATTCTAACAAAGATCACTAAGACATGGTAAATAAAGCGATATTAGAAAAAAGCTATAAAATAACTATTTTTGGAAAGTACTCATAATTTTTCCAAATGAAACCATTTCGATTTAAAGTACGACGAATGGTATTTAGCCAAGATAAAATAGACCACTTTGTAGAGAACTTCACGGTACATCTTACTATGATAAAATCATGTCTTTTGAATGAAAGAAAAAAAGAGTTAGAGATAAAATACTGAGTGTGGGGGGCATTTAGTCTGCCGCACCCGTTAGTATATATATTAGTATACAAACTGAGATTACGTTCAATCTCAGATTGGCCTAGGCGAATGTAAGATCCGAGATTGGACGCATCCATACTCAGATCCAACATTGGACGGGCATTTGTTCAGATCATTCTCGGATAAAATATAAAACACACGTCCGTTCTAGGATTGGACTGAAATAGTCAGGCGAATCTTAGATTGGACTAAGTGTATGTCGGAATGAAAGATTTGCACGGCCAATCTCGGATTGGCCTAGGCCAAGCTCCGAATGAATACGCAGCATTCTGTACTCAATGTCAAAGATAATGCTTGAAAGTTTTATTCTGATCAAACAGTAATGTTGATTAACTTCATGTCTCATTTTATCCCGAGACTCATGACCAGTTTATCATGAAAATCCTTCAAAATTCTGTAATATGACTGCACAAAACCAATTCATCGATCGGTCTTGATTGAGCACAACATCCGAACTCCAAAAGTATTATCAATTTTGAAATGATATTTACATCACCGATTAAATTTGGCGTCAATACCACTGCCCTTGCCACCTTCCGTATGCCTCAAAGCAAGAATAATCCTATGATAATACTCCAATGAAAACATTATTTTTTTCTGAATATTTCAAACTGGTTCGGTACTAATTGACTTTGAAATAGAATGTCTTTTCTTCATTGAAATGGTCGAGGTCATCATTGACAACTTCCTCGCCATCATTACTAACGATAGTATCATTTTAATCAACGATTAGATTGTCAATTTCAACGGTTATTTTTGGTGTCGATGGAACATCAATTGTCAATAAGTTGACACTCATAGTGATGAAAACAACACGTTAAAGCAAAATGTAAAATTTTAATCTTATATTACTGCTTTTTACGGTAACCTTAGCTGAATCTTTCTTCACGAATCTTCCAATCCAGCTTTTACTCGTTAGATTTTATGGAGCGAAGTATCCTCTCTATATCGCAATTAATTCACGAAGTTCATAATTCATTCTGACATTGCCCTAGGCCAGTCCGAGATTGGCCGTGCAAATCTTTCATTCCGACATTCGCCTAATCTAATCTAATATTCGCCTAACTATGTCAGTCCAATCCTAGAATGGACGTATGTTTTATATTTTATCCGAGAATGGTCTGAACAAACGTCCGTCCAATGTCGGATCTGAGTATAGACGCGTCCAATCTCGGATCTTACATTCGCCTAGGCCAATCTGAGATTGAACGTAGTCTCAATTTAGACGCTGACATATACATGGCTAACCCTAGCCACTAGCAAAATGTGAGTTCAAAAGTTGTGTATCAGTTGGGAATGTTTCTTCATGAGTACATAAGCAGTTACTATCATATTTGTTCAGTTTCCATTGTATTCTATGAAAAGATCTTCGAAAAGTATATTGAACATGTAAAAGTGTTTCTGGAATGAAGTGCTAGAAACCCATAAAGTACTCTAAGGTTCTTGTGAGATACTCGTAACAAATTACCTTGAACTCAGTAGATTTACTGATGCATTATCTACACACTAAAACGGGTATTTGTAAAATACGCTCTAATTCACTCTGATCCATTCCAACCGTCGTTTAACTCAAAGTTAATATCAATCGATAGAGCTTAGAATTCTTCACTCAGGAGACCTCATTCTAAGCCATTTTCTTTAAAAAATCTTTGATAAAAGAATCAAATACCATTTTTATGAATCCACTCCAACCCACTCTAGGCCACTCCAATCCACTCTAAACCACTCCAACTCACTCTAAGCCCACTTCGACCCATTCTAAGCCAAATTTTCGCGAGAAAATGAATAACTCATATTAATAAACCACTCTTTAATTTATTTTTGATCTATCTATCTTGACATCACTTTCGCTATTGTTAGAGATCAAAGGTGAAAGGTGAATGGTCAAGGGTCAAGGATCGCATCTAGTGACAAAATTTAGTGTTACACCTATACGCCCAATATTAGGTTTTTGAAGTAACGGTGTGTAGGTTCGACAGTCTACGAAAAAGACAAAGAAAATTTGTTTGAAAAAACTGATATTGGATGTATAGGTTTAGCGCTAAATTTTATCAGCAGGTGTGATCCTTGACCCTTGATCTTTCACTTTCTACCTTTGATCTCTAACAATAGCGAAAGTGATGTCAAGATAGATAGATCAAAAATAAATTAAAGAGTGGTTTATTAATATGAGTTATTCATTTTCTCGCGAAAATTTGGCTTAGAATGGGTCGAAGTGGGCTTAGAGTGAGTTGGAGTGGTTTAGAGTGGATTGGAGTGGCCTAGAGTGGGTTGGAGTGGATTCATAAAAATGGTATTTGATTCTTTTATCAAAGATTTTTTAAAGAAATGGCTTAGAATGAGGTCTCCTGAGTGAAGAATTCTAAGCTCTATCGATTGATATTAACTTTGAGTTAAACGACGGTTGGAATGGATCAGAGTGAATTAGAGCGTATTTTACAAATATCCCACAAAAACAAAATGTGTCGCACTTATGTGTTGCAGATCCTATCACGAAAATGTGTCGCAATTAGAATGCGTCGAATTATGAATTTGTCGTATTTTGTCTACTGACTATTCATTTACTGTTTTGCTGTGCACACACAGCTACATATAAACAACGAGATTGAACATGCGGCATTTATGTATTTTCGTGTGTCTTTTTTTCTAAATTATTTCTCGATTAGTTATTAGTCGAGAACATGCCGATCCCCATCGATGATCGAAAGAGGAGTGCCCTGAAGTGGGCTGACCAAGATCAGATCGGCTAGAGACGCACAGATCTCACCATCTGGCCAACTTAAATTTTCAGAATAGGAATAATTAAAACGAATTAAATTGAAAAAATGTCATCATTTACTTTTACAGAAAGAACCTGGAAAATGCACCGCATATTAGATTTGAACCACGTTTTCAGAATGTGTCACATGGATTGTAGGAGAGTGTGCTCTGTCGTCGCTAGACAAAATGTGTTGCAACGAGCACCTGGTGTCTTACTTTGTGTCGCAAAGTACAATACATGTGACACATTTTATTTCAGTGTGTAGGTTTTATTTCAATGATATCTATCTCTTTTACCCAATTTCCAGGAATTCGATATACAGCAATTCTATTATCTGCCAGTGCGACACCAAATGCCCAAACAATTTGATGAATAGTTGATCCAAAACCGGATTCAGCATAATTTTGAATAACAGCAAAGCGTTTATTTGTACAATCTATTGGATGTTGATGTTCATAAAGCCATTTTTGTGCTTGCAAGGTATTCTGTATTGAAAATTCATTTGTTGCTGAATGATCACATGAATCAATCTTATCAACTTTTGGTCCACCGTAATATTCAACAGAACGACATGGTAAAAGTTTGGCTAGACGAAAATAATTTTCATCGGCTAAACGCAGTGACCAGAGATGAGTAGAATTATATCCATAAGAAAAGGGTCTTAGAACTTGTATATAGTCTTTTGATGATGGTATATTTAATATTTTACCTGATGAAAATAAGGTAACTATTTTACTTTTTGTTTCGTTAAAAGTTAAACCAAGAAGAAAAACACATATCAAAATCAGCATGAACGGAAATAGAGTAGACACGTTTTTAAAAGTTTCTGGTAATAACGATCGATTAATTATGAAATATTTCATGTTAAATAGTAAATTAAAGATCTACTTAATGGAAAAAATGTTTTGGACTGTAACTTTTTTAACATCATTTAATCATTTCATAAATTTTAGGATAATATTTCAAATAGTTTGTCTAGGTAAACATTTTTTCATATCAACAATCACGTGAATGACAGTCTAAAAAACCAAGAACGTTATATATTAGTATTGGAAAAAAGAATTTTCAGGAAGATAAAATACTTGACAACATGACTTTTAAAGTCCTTGTCTGCTTATGAGAAACTTGGAAACTGGTAAAGGCGCTATCACCAAAATGCCATACATGTATCACAAAGAAGATGTATTGGAGTACAGACCGAATGTCCCAAAGAATCTGAAGCTAATATTATTAGCCAGAGATTCAACTTGGAATCGTGACTATTTTTCACAAGTTTATTTTGTATTTTATGACAACTCGATCTTTTAAACCTGAGACTCTCTTAGATATCGAAAACATATTGTTATCGTCGTTCTCTTGTAAGTCCTTATAGTTGGAGAGCGGTAAATGTTCTGATTGCATATATCATATTCTTTTAAAAGTACTCAGATAATATGAGAGATCTGGAGCACTCTTTGTAGGTCTTAAAGACTGGTTTTTAACCTCGAAGTCCATTAAATTTCGATTTAGATTCGCCGAAAATAGATTCGTTTGATGCAGAATTTCTTTCTCAATCAGCATCTATACTACCCGTGTAGTGGAGACCGAAAAAAACCGGCGTTTTACCATGATTTTACGGATCCGATTATCGGCTCCATTACGATGACTAACCGACGGCTTTGCTCGGTAAACGATAGTATTTTCCAGCTAACCACTGCTTTTTCGGGTAATCGTGGTTAGCCGGCACCTTTTCCCGATTTACCGCGATAATCTGCCACTTTTCTAAGATTTACTGGCTCCTTAGCGATTAACTAGTGTTTTTTTGCTGATAAACTACGGTTTACCTCCAAAAACGATCTAGTTTTTGTGACATGAGGAACGTCTTAGATATTGAAACCTTTTTTTATTAATAAATGCTAAATACCACCCTAATTAAGTCCTTTTATTCCAAATAATGATTTTTCGAATCTTACCAAGTTATACAACTTGTTCAGCTAACAGGGTGTGGGTGTGAGTGTGTGGTGTGAGCGGGTGTAAGTGTGGATGGATGTGGGTCTGGATGTGGTCATGGACAGATGTGAGTATAACTTTGAGTGAAGAGAAGATCTATACAGCCACATACCACCTACACTCACAGCCACAGCCACACGTCACGCCCACTCACATCCATACCCACACACCACGCCCACTCACATCCATACCCATACCCATACCCATATCCACACCCACGCTCATCTACACACGCCTACACCGGCATCACATCCACTCATACCCCAGCTAGATGGAAGCAGTATTGCGGCGGAAAATCACCATACCGAGAAACGGCACCTTCCAAACGATTCCACAACACGGAACCGCAAGGGAACTATACAGTGTCTTGCAGGAAACACATCGAAACGCGCTAGTTTTCTAACGGAAACAAACCAGAAAAGAACAGCTTCCGTCCAGAATCAGAACGTATTCTCTCGGAAGATTTATAGGACCAAACCTTCTCCGCTGCAAAACCTGAAAGCATCATTTTCATCATAATACCGCTCAAGCTGTTAACTAATATCTTGTAAATTAGGTATCGCATAAAAAAGATCTTTAAGATCTTTTTTTGACCAAAGGAGCTGTATCAGTCTCAAAAATAGCTCCTAGATCAAGTATCAAACTAAAAATAACTGTATAAATGTCTTCTACAAAGGTCGTTAATTTAATTAGAGTAATCTATTGTGGAGAAGGCGGCGTGTACCTAAAAAATCGTTTTATCGTCTCATACTCCTCATGTGAAAAAAAAATAGGGGAAAAATCAGATTAAAATCGATTACAGTGTGATTAAAAATCGATTATAATCATATACCTTTAATCGATTATAATTAGTCATAATCGATTATAATCAGCCATAATCGATTATAATCAGCCATAATCGGTTATAATCACAGAAACAGTTATTCTACTATATTAATCAATTAAAATTGATTAAGACTGATTCTAATCGATTAAAATTCACAGTAGTCATTATAAATCCACCTGCGTTGTTGCTACACCAGAATGACTATATCCTACAAATTACTCTCTAAAAGAGGGTGTGTGAGTGTAGGCCTGGGTATAAATGAACAGAATCTCGTGCCCACACCCAATCCTGAAGGCAACCCAATAGTCGGTTATTGAAAGACGGACAAAATCCGACGTTCCACATAGTATCATTCATCATCTAAAAATAGAAAAAAATACTAGTCTTTTAAGGCCTCCCCCATAGAAAACCCAATTTTTTGAAGGAAAATCGAAATAGAGTTTTTTTACACAGAAAGATGCGCTGAAGCTTCCTCTTCCCGAATATAAGTAGCTTTTTGCAAAACGACCAGGTTTTCGTGGACTTATCGATAAAAGGGCTTGTTAGCGCAGTCTCTTCGGAACTGAAATGTGGAACTCACGTATGTTCTTCAGCTTCATTATAATAATATCAAATATAGAAAGTATAAAATCAAGAATTTCTCAGTTTTTTAATTTTCTGACAGGCGCCCTTATTTTTCGTTTTCATTGTTGCTATTCATTCAGTATTTTTCATTTTTCGCAATTTTTTTTGTCTTAATTTTATATTTTTTTTTTATTATAATCATTGAATTAATTGGCAAACACGTCTGTTGTACATGTCGATTATATCTACAGCAGATCTTATGCGTTATTATATATATTAATCAACTTACAAATAATGATGTTCATTATCTTTCAAAATTATAACTTGATCGATTTTGCAAAAAACTATAGAAAGTCTGACGCCTGTTATTCTCGATTGCTAAGGTCTGTAATGGGGATGTCTGTAATGGGGGTGTCTGTAATAGGGGCCTGTCTATAATGGGGGGTATGTCTGTAATGGGGGCTTCCGTTGCTAGGCGTCTGTAATGGGGTGGGGAGAAGGGGAGAGCCGCCAAACCTCGAACTTAAAATTTACACTCACTATTTTCTTCGAAAATATACGTGAGTTCCAAAAAACTCGACCTCCCTACTATCATATTTTACGAAAAATTTTCGTAATTTTTCAAAATTTTCTTCGTTTCGAAAAAACTGCATTGCCACTTGCGACAGCATTGAATAGAATATTTTTATAGTGACCACTAAGGATATACTAACATTCAAGATAAAGATTATATATTTATATTTTATCCTCAATACTGAATATTTTATAGTTCAAGTACATTGCACGAGAATATATTCATGACAACCTAAACATTTTTAAACATGCAATTATTTTAACCTGTTCTAAGGTATTCCAATAATTTAATATTGATCAATTGTACTGCTGTTCTTTTTATAGAAGTTATATATTCTTAAAGATTTTTCGTCATGTCGATTTGTTTTCAGTCAGTCGAAGTTTTCTTTCCTTTTTCAAAACTGAAACACCCGGCATTTCAGACAATATTGGCGCAGAATAATTAAAAATAATTAAAAATCTAGAAAATAGAAGTGATAATGCCTTGTCGCTGAGAGAACATGAGTTACGCTAATTATAATTCGGTTGCAGCGTCTTACTCATCTTTGCCAAAAAACTTTCAGGTTTTTTTAATTTATCCAAAGAGCTGTGAATCAGCGTATCCTGAAATATTGTGCTATACGTGCATTACCCGAAAAGAAGGAGAGCAATACTATTTGAACATGATAGATAATGTTAGCTAACTGCATTTGTTATGCGCTTAAAAAGAGGCCAATGAAATTTATTGCAAATATGCCATTTTAATATATTTTTTTTCGAATTTCAGCGAAAAAACGCATTTCTAAAACTTCTTTAGCGTTTTTCTAAGAATATGGTTTCTCAGCAGGAAAATTGGGATCACTCCATCATGGCCTTGGGTATTATTTAATATATTTTTTTTGTTTTAAAGCTTTGAATCAAGGCTAACCTTTCATCAGACGGATTTTTGATACATTTCTCCTGGGCTGAGAAAAGTGGAATTTACTGTCGTTCGCGTGACGTTTTTTATGCTTATTTTGCAGACCTGCCCAGTAAAATAGTCATAAAAAATGAATGGAAAAAAGTTTCAAAAATCCGTCTGATGAAAAGTTGCGCACAGAGACGAGCTTCAATTTGACGCTACTCCAAGCTTTCTAGCCTTTACTACGATTGAGTGATTCCCATTTTCCTGGGAGGTATGAAAACAGGCCGTAAGTTCGACCTACTAGGGTGTATCGAGCTGGAATTTTTATCACAAGCGTATCTCACCAGGACCACTTGTTCCTGAAAGTTTCAGCGCAAATGGTCCGTTTTAGGTGAGAAATCGTTTCTGAGGGTCCTCTTAATATCAACATCAGACTTACGTGATAAATCGAATCGTGTATAATCTAAAATAGAAATGAAAGAAAGCATTTGTTTTTCAATATGAAAATGGAATTGGTTTTATTCAATCATTGACGATCTTTGAAAAAAGTATTAGCTTTTCAATATCAACATAAGACTTGCTTTGTAAATTGAACTATGTACGATCTAAACTGGAAAAGGAAGAAATATGAAGTTTTCACTACGAACATGAGACTTACTTTGTAAACCAAATCGTTTATTATCTCAAAATGTCAATAAATAAAAGTACTTATTTTTCAATATCAGCATAAGGCTTACTTTATAAATCAAATCGTTTGTGACCTAAAATAGAAATAAAAGAAAATATATTATTTTCTAAAAATATGAGCCTGAAACTCACTTTGTAAAATAAATCATTCATAATCTACAATAGAAATAAATAACATAGTAATTTTTTAATTTTCAACATCACACCGACATTGTAAATCGGGTGATATATAATCTGAAAGAAAAATAAAAGAAAGCATTAGTTTTTCG